ATTTTTATAAGTTGGAAGGATGGGGACATTTATTATGTAGTGGCAGAAAGCTAAGGAACACTATCATCTGTAGGAATTTGGAATATAGAACCAACGAGAAAATAGAACTAGAGAATTAACTTAGGAGATTTCAAAGGAGAGTGTTGAAGGTACCACCTGGCTTCCAGCTGCTTGTAGTAATATGCAAGATGAGAATGGTAAGTGAAAGAAATCACTTTATATATAATAGAGGAATCTAAAAAAACACTGTTTCTTATTCCACTTTCTTCAGATGGCAGATGATGCTAAAATTATGAAAAGACTTTTGGACAAAGATGAATTCCAGGACACCGTCAGGAAAATTGGGAATAAAGAATGTCAGGGGCATACTATACAACTCTTTGCAAAGCCCTCCAAGAGTTGAGGTGGTATCACAAACAGATAATGATCTCTAAGCATCTTAAAGGGCAGGCATTGCTCAACAATAGGGCTTTTAAGAATATCAAGGGGGTTTTCCTATAGTAACCTTACAGGAAGCCAAAGATAGAGAAGGACTTATCTTGATGAATTTTGTGGGTGTGGCTTTTGTCTAATGGGGTGAGCCCCAGTACAATTCATGTCGTTTTATGAAGCGTGTACTTGCAGAAACACTGCCTGCTTGGACTAAAAGGGACAGAGTGCAAGATGAAAAGAGAGCTTTGGGATTCTGAAGTACTATTGGCAGGAAGCAGTCTGATGGAACTACTTAGCTGCAAACTAAAGCATTTTTTTAAAATTTTTTTATGGAAAAGGACAACTAAGGCGGTAGAACCATGAGCTGAGGGTAGAGCCAAAACTTGTAGAGATGCTGTGCTGTATTCCCAGGCAGTGGGTCTGAGTCCAGGAATCGTCAGTATGTGCCTGGCTGGGTTTCAGAATTGTTACGGACTTCTGATTCCTGCTTGCCTCTCTTCACCCCCCTTTCAGTGGAAAAGTGTATAATGATTTTCTTACGCCTCTTCCACCATTGTATGTTGGTTTGCAGAGAAGATATATATATATATATATACATATATACATCTTGTCTCTTTAGATCACCAGGTCTTCATACTGAGAATAGATATACTTGAGGAACTGGACTTGATAAATGGCATCTGAAGAGTGGCATACACATTTGGATGAGATTCTGGACTTTGAACCTATGCCTGGTGCCATAATAGGTGAGACTTGTACAGAGGTGGGGTTGTCTTGGGAAGCGAGTGGTGTATTTTGCATGCAAAAAGAAATATGAATAAGGTTGTTTTGCTTACATTGTAGAGCCTATTGACGTTTACATGAGGACTTGGTGTATTAACTATCTGGCATATAGTAAGTGTGAGTTGTTACTCTATAAAGAAAATGTAGAAATAGAATATTAATTATGCAAATTTCACCCCAAACTTCCTATTCTAATATTTCATGATTTTTCTTATTAGATTTTCCCTCTTTTAACATGACTCATAAGAAACCAAATGTGTCATCCAAATGTGTTTATGTGACTACACATGAATTCATATACTATAGGAAACGTGCTGTTTGTTTAAAGCTTTGCTATACAGAGGTTCATTTACAAAGCATGCTTATTGATATTCGCCTGGTGCCATGGTGTCATTTTAACCATTTTTTTTCCAGCCCAGGAGGAACTTCCATTGCTCCTTTGTGGGCCACATGAGCACCTGTGTTGCATGCATCCATTCATCCTTCAAATATTTTTTGAGCACAAACTATATGCTAGAAACTGTATGAGGTACTGGAGTCACTAGCAAACAGTAGAAGTTCCCTGCTCTCATATCGTGCATTCTAATGGTAGCAACAGACAAGAAATAAAACTAATTTTCAAATAGTGATACATACTAGGAAGAAAAGAAAACAAGGTCCCATGATAACATATTGGGGAGGAAGGGCACAATTAAATTGTATAGTCAGGGCAGGCTCTCCGAGGAGATGACTTTGATTTGAGACCTGAAGGACAAGAAGGAGCTAGACACCCAAAGAACTGGGGCGATAAGCACTCAGGGCAGAGAGGACACCTCATGCAAAGCCCCTGTGGCAAAAACGACTTAGCTTTATAAATTCCTGAGTAACTTGCATATAAATCTACTCAGTTTATTATTCACTGGATGAGTTCGCCTTTTGAAAGAACATAATGCTGATCCCCTTTTTAAAGTGATGCTTTAAAAATTCAAATGCAGTGGTTCCTGCACTACCGTGTACTTAAGAATCACTTGGCCAGTTTGTTAAAATATAATTTCCTGATCTAAAAAAGAGGAACTGGTCAAAACAGAATAGAATGGTGGTTACCAGAGGCTGGAGTTGGATTTGGGGAGATGTTGTTCAAGGGTACAGAATTGGAAGTAGTAGACAAATTAGTTCTGGAGATCTAATGCACAGCATAGTGATTATAAACAACAATACTGTACTATAAACTTCAGAATTGCTAAGGGACTAGATCTTACTTGTTCCTACCACAAAAAAGAAATGATACTTATGTAATACCATAGAGGTGTTAGTCAACACTATAGTGACAATCATATTGTGACATATAGATGTATCAAGTCAACACATTGTGTACCTTAAACTCACACAATATTATACGTCACTTATATTTAAAAAAAAAAGTTTTCTGGGCTACATCTCAAGAGGTTCCGATTCAGTAGGTCAGGTGAGGCCCACAGATTTGCATTGTAATAAACTCACAGGTGATGCCAGTGCCATTAGTCTGAGGCCCACATTTTGAGAACCACTGCTTTAACAAATCTGTTTTGTGAGTTTAGCATCTGTTTGCTAAAAGTAAAGCATGCCAATATTTTCTTTTATGTGAAAAATTAACTCTGCATGCTGATCACCTGAAATTAATTTTTGTAAGTGTAAGTGGAAAGTGCATGAAATATCACAGATAAACGATACCATCAGTTTTTCATATTAAATTCATAGCATCTATAGTATTATGAGCTTAATTTCAATATAGCCATTTAGTGAAGGGTTAATGTCAGTTTTCATTTGGAGAGGATTTCAAAAATTATTTTTTAAATGATGAAAGAAATTTAAATGATGGGTAACAGATTTTCTAAAATTTTTTTTTCTTTCTTGAGAGAGCACATAAATAGAAATTATATATTTAATGCTGTTAATCTGGAGAATATGAGAAGGTTGTTCCATCAGTTGTGCCATTCAGGAAGATATTCATGGAAAAGAGACGGGCAAAGAAAGAGGGACATCAGGCTGGGTCAGCTCAAACCATTCTGGTCAGCAGGGAGCCTGCCTGCTGCAGTCACAGCCTGTATGACACATGTCAGAGAAGTCTGCCCATGTGCTCCTGTTTCTAGTACTTGTTCCCAGGAAGGGAATTTATAAGCACATAGCTTGTGCTTTGGGCATCATGACCTTAGCAGCATCTGGGAGACAGCATATGGATGATGATATTAAGAACAACCAAAGTCACCCAGCACTTACTTGAGGTTATTGCTCAAAGTGCTTTATGAGTGTAACTAATGTAACCTCCACAACACATATATAGGGTAGATAGCAACAACATCTCCATATAATAGACAAGAAAGTGAGGCAAAGAGTAACTCAGTATAATTTAGGTTACCAGGAAGCTCGTGGAAAAGGTGGGATTCAATTTGCCTTCAGCCTGACCTCTTAAACAATGTACTATATACTGCTTGATATTTGGAAAAGAAACCCCAAATCAAAGGTTTTCAGGATTTGTGTCTATAGTCCAGGTTAAAATGAGGTATCTTTTTTGCATATTCTTTAAGTTACAATACAGGAATTATACCATATCTATTTTATAATCTTTCTGCCTGGGTCTGACAAGAAGACATTGCAAATGAGGACTGAAAAGAAGACTGCTGGAGTAGACACTGCAGAGACTTTTGTACCACATCTTAGTGTGTGATCTTGGGCCAAAAATGTTCTCAACCTGTTTTGGTATTCATAAAGGGATGACAGTGTTTATCCCACAGGACTGGATAATTAAATGAGGAGTTTTCTCTGACCACTGATAGAGACATGTACTGCACCATTCAGTTGTCCAGGTAAGTGGACACTTCATGCATAATTTGTAGGATTTTCAAGGGTCATTTTGACTGTAGGATTTTTGCCTTACCTGCTGATACCAGAATCCTTGGTTAAGATGCAACTCCACTGTAAGCCTTTGAATGACAGTGGATTTGTGTTCAGAGGATCTCTGTGGGCTATTTCTACAGTTGGGCTCAGGATGGCATACCCTAACTACGGAGGTAAGTCTAGTGACTGACCAGATCCAACAATAATGTGATGGTTACTAACAGAAGCTACAGTTGAGGCAGAATGGCAGTGGGGAGCAACAGAGTTGCAAAAGGACTGTCAACTGGTCCCCCAGCAGGTGTCTTGTTCTCATTAACAGAGCAACAACCCAAAATAATTTTTGTCAACCAGACATAATGGTTGATTTCAACATCTGGTTCTGACAACAACCAGAAATATATCAAGAGTTCCTAAGCACTTAAAAATTTTAGTTTTATATTTACTATTTAGAATAATTCCTTAGAACAAGTTTTAGGTATTATAAAATATTTTTAAAAGATACTTGAGTTTACCCATGATCAAAACAGGTAAAATATCATTAAATTGGGTAGGACTGCATAAATATATAGAGGTAAGTGATCTTTGTAGATGCTTTTATAATACTATGTAACCTAGAGCCTAAAATCTAAGGAAGAGAATTAGAGAAAATACAAAAGTGCAAGGGAGATAAACGAATAATGAATTAACTTTTATTTGATTATTTTCATTTACAGTTCTGGCACTGACACTTAAAAAAAAAAGATTTTAACTTTATGTAAAGATTGAACTTCAATAAAATAACTTAAAAACATTTACATATACATCACTAAATCTCCATAAAATATACAATACTTTTGATACAGTTATAGGCTAGAATGACTGAAAGAAATGATATTCATAATTTTGAAGAGATATCCCATATGTCACATGTAGGAATAAATATTTATATTGGATTTGCCAAGACGTGAATATTAAACATTGTATAACATGCACTCAAAAATTAAAATATATATTTTGAAAACATTTTAAAAGCATAAAACTGTTTTGATTTAATCTAGGTATACATTAGAACTTCTAAATAGAAATTTGAACATTTATTATAAATAAAAGATACTATAATATTAAGTGAGATATAGTCCAAAAGCTGCTAGGAACCATTTGGACATGTAGAATATAATTTTCTACTTTGGCTAGAGTTAAGTCTCATCTTTTTTAACCTTCAAATGAGATGGAATGATGCTTGAATATTATTAAAATTTGCTAAAATTTTACAAAATACTGGTTTTTACCTTCAAGTACTTATAAGCTGCATTTCTTTTTCTCATTTATATTGCTATGGCAAAATCAAACACATGAACTTAACTGTCTAAAATAAAAATCTGAATGTTACTGCTAAATGAAGGTAGTAGGTATTTAACATTCTGTAGACCAAATCACTGAAGTAAAACACTGTTTTATACATACAAAGTAAAGATTTATAGGAATTATATTGTTTTACACTCATAAGCAAATTATAAGGATACGATTCTCTCATTAACACTCTTAGAAAATATTTCTCTGATGACTATTGACACACAAAAATTTCCTCCTCTAAGAGACAGTATACAAGAGTTGGTAGCAGTTAGCTGTTTGGCATTTTTAGATGATCACTATTTCTAGGAAATAGTAATATTGCTCCCCAGAACTGAATGTACTAACAATTGATAGGCTGCTACAACCTGAACCACTTCATTAGTGTAACATTACATGAGGCTAAGAAAATTGATAGAAAGTGACAGAAAATAGGACGTTAAAGTTAATCCAGAGAACAATTCTGAGTCTTTTTATAGGCAGCATTTACACATGAGCTGTAAATTTTATACACAATTTAACACATTTTGCTATAAAGCACATATTATGAATTCTGTGTTCCTCGCCTGGTATGTCAGTCTTTTATTCGTTGTTAGTGAAAAGGTCTGAATTTGGTAATTGAAAACGTCACAACAATTGTATAAATGTCAGTTTTGGGTGCTTAGTATAATTTGAGATTTTATAAAGTAGGAGAATAGTAAAGAAAAGTTGATTATAACAATATCTCATTAATTTTATTGTTCTTAATTAGTGTGCCAATGAAATAAAACAATCCCTCCAGTCCCCTCATCATATTACTGTATTTATAAACTATTAATGTAATTAATTTGTGAGATTTTCCTTAGATAACATATGGATAGTATTTTCTAGAATATCTTCCCCCAGGTGATTATAATGCACTTCAATTTTACTTTCTGATGAAAAAGAAAAAGTGTAAGTTGTCAAACTTACATTTTTCCTGTTCATTCTTCTTCTGAATAATTGATTTTGAAATTATAGTAAACAATTTCTAAATTCTTTGCTAACAGATTTATCATGTTAGAGTGAATAACTTAAAAAAATAATATTTAGATTAATATCCTGAAATCTGGTTCAGTGGTAAAAAAGTTATGAGAAAGCACTTGACAGCATTACTTGCAAAGCGTTTTCCATCATAAAAGTACTGAATATGACTGGAAACAAAATTTCAAATGGAATATTACCTTTTAAATCTAGTTTTAATTTAGATCTTTACATATACATTTAAATCATGTGTTGGGTAATTTTTGACTAAGGTACAACAGTCAAAATTATTAGGAATGTTTATAGTGAAGAAAACTATTAATACCAAATCTTTAAAACCTATCTGACATCACAGTCAGACCTAAGTGTTCGGATGCAATGTTATATTCTCTTAAGTCCAGTGTAGATCTCATTGGCCATCAGTTAAGCCTCAATAGGGGTTACAACTTTCTTCACCATATTTTCCTAAAACATAATGTACCTCTGTTGAATTTGCAGCATGTTTAAAAACAAACCTATAATATCAGTTAAAAGCATGAGGCTTAATGCATTTTAGTATGGTAGGTCAAATCATAACCATATATATATTGTCCTACAAAATACATATTTAATATTTCAAATGGAAAGTTTTCAAGTTGATAGTGGTAGTCAAAGATGCTGAGAACTTAAAAGGTGCATAATATAAAAAAACCTGGAAAATTCAAACATTGAATTTTTAATATACTATAAATGTTCACCAAATCTAAAAATAATACCCTAATTGTATAAGGTCTCTTTTCAAGTAGTTATTTGTTTTTAAAAAATTATAAATAATTCTTATACTGTGGCTCTCTGTTCTGTACTTCAAAGATAGGGAATATTTATTGGTATATAAATAACCAATAGCCTAAAGAAGGAGGTTGAGGAGAATAGAGGAGGAGAACTGTGGCTGATTTTCCCTATATTATGTGCATTTATGGATGTAAAGTTGAAAACACCGTTTCCTTATGTCAGGGAGACTAGGCCATGTTCTGCTTTACAAAATAATAAGAGTCGAGTTGCTCCTTTAATAAAGTTACTGTGCATTCAGCTCAGCTGAGTTAAGGCTATGTATATAATAAAGAGAAGAGTTGAGGCAATTATTTGGATAAATCGGAAAAATTCTTAAAAGAGAGTACTTTATTGGTCTAAATACCTGTCTCCACCAAAATATTCTGATTTTAACACACAATATCTCATTTTCCTCTTCACTTTACCCATGTGAAATGTTACACAGATAAGAACGTTTTTATGGGATACAAAATATCAATAGAATAATAATTTTCTCTATAAAATCACATCTGCTTTTATGAGGCAAATTAATATTAATAACCCCTTAGAACTCAATTGTCAAAGCACCTAAGGAAAACAACTCTCTAAAATAACTTTATTATATTCAATGATCAAAGGGAGAAAATTTTTTAGGCCAATAAAGAGACTTTTACTGCACATGTCATATGCTTGGTGGCTTAGAGAATGAGCCTCTTTGGCTACATTCTCAGCTTTGACATTAGATAGGAACAAGCCACACTTAAGAGAGGAAAAAAACATTTTGGAGACATCAAATTTAGCCACCTCTTCACTCCAAATAGTGCCTTATTAGATGTTTAAAGCCATGTTAAAATTCTTCAAACTCATGCATTCCTAACTGGCCACAGAAGAGTCATTCATATTATCATTGGAACTAGCAAGTAATTTTGTGAGGAAGGAATTTTGTACATACTATATAGTTAAGTCTTAATATAAGAGCAAAAATTAGAGTTCATTGATGAATGACCATAAAAACCAATGAACACTTTGAAAAGATATTGTATAAATGTAGTAAGTCAACATTTGTTAAAGACATGTGCTATGCAAGAACCATTAATCTGTTCCAATAGAAAATCCCAATTTTTAGACAAGAAGGAAAAAAAAAAATCCAAGACAAGAGTGAGAAAAAGGAAACAGCCACAGACAAATCTATGTATATATTGGGGGTGAGGGTGTGGAGGTAAATTGTCAGAGAAAATGAGAAAGGGTGTGCAAAATAAAAACCAGTTGATGCTCTCAGAGTAAAAAAAGGACAAGTACTATTAAGTAAAATGTGACAGTTCCCTTACGGTTAATAAAAAGTTAAAATAAGTTAAAAATAAGTCCCACTATTTAATTAAACATCAATAACAGCAGGATTATTTGTCACTGATATTCTTCCCTCCTTTCTTCTTTGTTCCAGAAGTTATTTGAATAAAAGAAGGGGAAAATAGTCCGCTAGCAGCTATTTCTATAACACAAATGAAGGCACAAATAGTAGGACTCGAGTTGATGAGCAAAGGCATGGTGAATATCAGGTGATTTGGGCACGAACAAAAACTGACCCTGAAATGCAGTTGAAGATCTAGTGCTATCTGTATTTATAGTTGCATACCTAAGTGACTAACTTAATTAAGGATCCATAAAAATCTTTTCTTTCTCTCTAGCAATAAAATATACTTATCAAAACTTGCTAGCTTATCTGTGCAAATGTACACTTATCACTGATGCAAAAAATATGTATGAAAATATACCTTAAAAGACCTGCTTTTCATAGTGTTCAAAAGATCCTGTGCAGTCAGTTTCTGAAGAGCTCTCAAGATCTGAATTGGAGAGAGAAACCAAAATGTGGAATCCAAAGCAGATAAGGACAGCTGTGCCCTTGTATGAGGCACTTTGAATTTGTTGATGAAAGTTTAATGGAATTTAATTTCTAATAGCAGGTAAGATCACAGGTAAGATACTTGTCCTTAGAAAAATTAGGGCCCACAGACCATGTTTTGACAGAAAACACCCTTGGACCATATCCCAGAATCCTCCTTATAAGTATATCATTCATATCTGATTCTGCTAGGTTAACACTGACTCACTTGCCACTAATAATTATATATGGTCTTAGGAAAAAAAGATACCACTGAAGTCACTGGATACAATATTCATTTTAGACTATCTCAGGAAGGAATTACACACATTTGTTCAATAATTATTTAAAATCTCTGTAAATATTGGGTTTTTTTTTACATTTCCGCTTATGAAAAAAAATGTCACCTTGGTTATCTTCCTCCTAATCAAATATTCTGGAATATGAAGTCATTCAAAACCAGACTGTGGGAAGAACCAGATTGGAAGCAGGGCAGTGAGGTTACCAATTGCTGATCTTTCCCCCCCAAGTTTGTTTAAATAACTAAAATGTATCAGCAGTTGAAAATTATTCCACATCAGAAGCATCGTTGTCAGAAAGATGATAGTTGCTTCCCTTCACCCGTATATATTCAATGTATCGCCCTTCATCAGAATCTGAAGCCCCACATGTACAGAGCCTGTTGTCAAAGAGTGACTCAATCTCCTCTAATTTCTTCCCTTTGGTCTCAGGAAGACAGCCATAGATGAAAAGCAGCCCCACAGCAGCGAATCCAGCATAGAGGAAGAAGGCTCCTGTGATGGAAAAATAATATACAGTAAGTCCTCACTCAGTGTCATCAATAGGTTCTTGGAACTAGCGGAATCACCCGCATATGGTTGGTTGACCCTCAAACAATGCGGAGGGTTAGGGAGCCCCCAACTCCCTGTGCAGTTGAAAATCTGCATATAACTTTTGACTTCTCCCAAATTTTACTAATAGCCTAGTGTTGACTGGAAGCTTTACCGTTAACGTAAATAGTTGATCAACATATATTTTGTATATTATGTACTATGTTATTACAATAAAGTGAGCTAGATAAAAGAAAATGTTAAGAAAATTATAAGGAAGAGAAAATATATTTACAGTACTGTATGTATGTATTGAAAAAAAATTCATGTGTAAGTGGAACTGCACATTCACATGGTGTTGTTCAAAGGTTAGCTGTATAAGAAAACCAGTATTACCTACCATAGTCTAATTGAAACAAATACAAGTGAAGTTCCTACGGCATCTCATCAATGTTATAAGAAAACGACGTTGAATGACACTATGCTATTTGAGGACTTGCTCTCTCTGTATAAATATACAGAGGGTGCCAAAAATATGAAAACACATTTTAAGAAAGGAAAAAACTGTATTAAGATTGTAATACTCAATATACATCCATAACAAAAGATGAATACAAGTCATGTGTAAACATTTTTTGGCACTCCCGGTATACAGATGTATGTATAGACCAGGGTTGGAAAGGGGACTTGATTTTTTCTTTCTGCTCAATCATGCATAGCTATGGTCTGAAATGAAGCCAAAAAAATTTACTGCCAGCCTGGTTTGCTCGAATTGTTCTAACCCTGTGACTATAATGCAGTTTATCTTTCTAGAGTAGACTCAAGTCAAGTAATGCCCAACTCAGGAATGACAGGCTAGGCCCATATGTAACTTCTGTTTTTAAGTCTTTCCTCATGTCCCTGACAAGGGGACTTCTCTCCTATGTGCTTTCACAGCACTTTGCCGAGGCCCCCTACAGTAATAACCAATTAGGTATTATAATTATGTGCATGTATTTGTCTGTCTTGTCTGCTAGACTGGATGTACTTTATGGGAGAAATTTCTTTCTCATTTATCTTGTATTTTCCCAGACACATACAATGATTACATCGCTGATTTCATGATTTAATGGAGTAAGTACATGGCAACTATCCTTCTAGTCTCTCATGCCCAAAGTCTGGGAATCAGCCTTCACTTTTCTCTTGCTCTCCTTTCCAATATCCAATCTGGTAGGAAATCCTGTTGGATCTACTTTCAAGCATAATCCGAAGATGACACTTCTTACTGTTCCACTGATAACTTTGTTTAAGAGCCATCCTCCCTCATCTGCACTATTGTAATAGGCTCCTTGCTCCTTCTCTTAGACTTCTATAGTCCACTTTGTGGGTCTATAGCATTATCACTAACATACTATTCATTGATTTTTTTTATTAAAATTTTTTTCTAGTGCAATTAAAAAAACATTTATAGTTCACTTACAGTTGACATACTGTATTATATTGGTTTCAGGTGTATAACAGTGATTAGACATTTATAGAACTTACGAAGTGATCACCCTGATAAGTCTAGTACTCATCTGATACCATACATAGTTATTACAATATTATTGACTATGTTCCCTATGCTGTACTTTATATCACCAGGACTATTTTTATAACTGGAAATTTGTACTTTTTAAAAACATTTCATTTTCTAAAATTGTTCAAATATATTTTACATTCAATATTATTTTATATTAGTTTCAGGTGTATAGCATAGTGGTTAGAAATTTATATAATTTACAAAGTGATCCCCCATAAGGCTAGTTCCCACCTGACATCATAGACAGTTATTACAATATTATTGACTATATTCTCTATGCTGTACTTTACATCCCCTTGACTATTTTTGTAACTGCAAGTTTGTACTTCTTTTTAATTTTATTGGGGAACAGTGTGTTTTTTCAGGACCCATAAGCTCCAAGTCACGTAGTTGTTTCAATCTAGTTGTGGAGGGTGCAACTCAGTGGCCCATGTGGGGATCGAACCGGCAACCTTGGTGTTATGGGCACTGCACTCTTAACCAACTGAACTAATTGGCCGCCCCTAGTTTGTGCTTCTTAATTCCTTTACCTAGTTCATCTACCCCTGTAACTCCCCTCTCATCTGGCAACCATTTGTTTTCTGTGTCTGTGAGTTTGTTTCTGTTTCTTTGTTCATTTCTTTTGTTCTTTAGATTCCACATATAAGTGAGATCATATGGTATCTGTATCTCTCTGTCTGACTTATTTCACTTAGCATATTATGCTCTAGGTCCACCCATGTTGTCACAGATAGTAAGATCACATTCTTATTCACGGCTGAGTAATATTCCATTGTATACACCGGGGGTGTCAAATAAATATATATAAGTAGACACTTTGGTCAGCATTGCTCAAGTGGTAAGTAGTTCACCATAATCAGAAGTGTCTGGATGCTGATGGTAATTTAAGCACCTCTTATAACTGCAGAAGTCAAACGTGACTTGTATTCATCTTTTGTTATTGGTATATATTGAGTATTACAATTTTAACAGTTTTTTCCTTTCTTAAAATGTGTATACATTTTTTTGGCATCCTCTGTATGTACCACATCGTTATCCATTTGTCTTGTTGATTGACACTTAGGTTGCTTCCATATCTAAGCTATTGTAAATAACGCTGCATGAACATAGGGGTGCATGCATCTTTTCAAATTACTGTTTTGGGTTTCTTCGGATAAATACCCAAAAGTGGAATTGCTGGGTCATATACTAGTTTTATTTTTAATTTTTTGGGGAACTTCTATACTGTTTTCTGCAGTGGCTGCACCAATTTGCAATCCCATCAGCAGTGTACAAGGGTTCCCTTTTCTTCAAATCCTTCCCAACATTTGTTGTTTGTAGATTTATTGATGATGGCCATTCTGACAGGAGTGAGGTGGTATCTTATTGTGGTTTTAATTTACATTAGCCTGACAATTAGTGATATTGCACATGTGCCTATTGGTCATCTGTATGTCCTCTGCCCATTTTTTAATGAAATTGTTTGCTTTTTTGCTGTTAAGTTGTATGAGTTCCTTATATATTTTGGATATTACACCCTTATTGGATATATTATTGGGAAATATCTTTTCCCATTTAGTAATTTGTCTTTTCATTTTGTTGGTTTCCTTCACTGTGCAAAAACTCTTTAATGTAATCCCCATTTGTTTATTTTTTTCTTTCAATTCCCTCTCCTGATGAGACATATCCAAGAAAATATTACTAAGAGTGATCGATGTCAAAGAGTTTATTGCCTGTGTTTTCTTCTAGGAGGTTTATGGTTTCATGCCTTACGAGGTCAGACAATTAAGTTCGCGAACTTGTTGCAATGATGTTGCTAACCTTTTTTTTTGATAACCTTTTTTTTTGATATCAGAAGGGTTATTTATTATGAATTTGTACCAACTGGACAAACTGTTACCCAAGTTTACTATTTGGAAGTGCTGAAAGGCTGCATGAAAAAATTAGACCTCCTGAACTTTTCACCAACAAGTCATGGCTCTTGCATCATGACAATGCACCAGCTCACACGGCACTGTCTGTGAGGGAGTTTTTATCCAGTAAACAAATAACTGTATTGGAACACCCTCCCTACTCACGTGATCTGCCCCCCAATGACTTCTTTCTTTACCTGAAGATAAAGGAAATATTGAAAGAAAGACATTTGGATGACATTCAGGACATCAAGCATAATACAGTGACAACTCTGATGGCCATTCCCAAAAAACAGTTCCAAAATTGCTTTGAAGGGTGGACTAGGCGCTGGCGACGGTGCATAGCTTCCTAAGGGAAGTACTTTGAAGGTGACCAGGGTGATATTCAGCAATGAGGTTTTTCTAGGATGAGTTCGTGAACTTAGTTTTCCGACCTCATACATTTAAGTCTTTAACCCATTTTAAGTTTATTGTATATGGTATCAGAAAGTGATAGTTTCTTCATCTTCTTTTTTTTTTTTTTGCATGTATCTGGTGAGTTTTTCCGGCACCATTTATTGAAGAGACTGTCTTTACCCCACTGTATATTCTTACCTCCTTTGTCATAGATTAATGGATTATATGCATGGGTTTATTTCTGATCTCTCTATTCTGTTTCATTGATGGGTTTGTCTGTTTTTATGCAAATACCATGCTGTTCTGATAACTATAATTTTGTAGTATAGTTTCATATCAGATAGTGATACCTCTCCAACTTTATTCTTCTCTCTCAAGATTGCTTTGGCTACTCAGAGTCCTGTGGTTCCATATAAATTTTAGGTTTATTTGTTCTATAGTAGTTCTGTAAAATCTGCCATTAGTATTTTGATAGGGATTGCACTGAATCTGTACAGTACTTTGGATTGTATGGGCAGTTTAATGATGTTATTCCTACGCATGAGCATGGTACAGTCTTCCACTTATTTATATCTTCAATTTCTTTCTTTTTTTTAAAAGATTTTTTATTGGGGAATTGGGGGAAGGGGAACAGACAAGTTGCTGTTCTTTTGTTCTTCAGTCTAGTTGTGGAGGACGTTGCTTCACTGGCCCAAGTTGGCACCATCATTGCGCTCTTCCCGGGTGAGGCACATCAGTCGCCGGCTTCTGGTCGGCCGCTCACTGCAGCTGCTGGCCGCTCACGCTGGCTGCTGGCCACACACGGTAGCCCATGGCAACCCACTGCAGCAGGGGCTGCAGTCTATGCTGTCGCCAGCAACTCATAGCAGCCCAGCTCCAAGTTGAGCTGTTGTTCAGCCACTTAGCTATAGAGGGCAGTGTCACTGGCCCTCATATGTGGGATCTGAACCGGGGCCCTCTGGCGTCCCAAACCAGCTCTTAACCAACGCGCCACTCGGCCGGCCCTTCAATTTCTTTCTTCATTGTCTTGTAGTTTTACCTTAATTAATGTGGTAAAACTACAAGGTAAAGTTAATTAAGTTTATTTTTAGGTTTTTTATTCTTTTTGATGCATT